GTTTACATGCACAGAGTAAAGACAAACTTTCCACCAGCCTGAACGAAAATCTAATTGTATCATTCGTCCGCTTTCGGGAAAAAAGTGATTGCCTGCTGATGATGCAACTTCGCTTTTCAAAGTAAGAGCATGCAGTATTCTATGAGCCGTTTTCCCCCAAATAATCAGCAACAAGTAACGTGCACTGCGGTAACAGCTGTTAGATAGGAAGTGACAGGACCTGGTTAAGGTCTTTAATAGGGTGTTGGTGTTCATATCCGTTTTGATAAGAAATTACATGTTGCAATGTTATTGTCCATTGTTAATATGTAGCCTAAGTTAACAACGTTAACTATTGAACCGGAACACGTTGCCATGGTGACACTATATATACACTAAATAAGTTAAAAGGTTACAAGGTTGATTTATTTATAATTTGACACAGGGTTGTATAACAAGATGAGACTCCACCATGAAAAACAGTTGTTTTTATAACATCTCATTTACAGTATATAATTTTTGTTTTGGTGAGGGGAACGACAACTAGCACTTCTCAATATACAATGTTACAGTAGCTATACAATGCCAGAAAGCTAGCTGCTTGCTAATGCTACTGCTAATGCATAGCCGCGGGGGAGGTGGCTAGCTTGCCCCAGGTGGACCATGTGTCCAGTCAGCCAGCTACAGTCGTTCAGGCCAGTAGATGTCACACATCGAGAAATTAACAAAATTAAATGAAGATTTCAAACCCTCATATGCTGTCGGACCTACCTCCGGTACCAGGTAGTTAATTTCTTCAAGCAAAGAGGTTATCACAGCCTGGGTATTTTACTCTAAGAGCATTTCACTTAATGACCACGCACTGTACACAGGGTCAGGTTTCCGTTCAATTCTGCCATAATGTTATTTAGCGTCCGCATATAAAGCAGAGATGGCGCGCTTTCCTCCCAGACCCCGTATGTGGACAGTCTGTGAAAACAGCCAGCTGTACCGCTGTCGGAGTTCCTACCTGCACGCTCCGTTTCCTGTTCACATGACTTCGGATATTGTCATAGGTATGAAAAGTTTCTACGTTTGTTTATTCTGCAGTTTATTTTTCTTATGCTTAATTATATTATTCCGTTTGAAAGTTGTAAGTTTTAGGTACAAACGCTTTTCATTTATTTCTAAATTAATTGAATGTATTCACAGATAAGTTTTTGTTTATGGAATTAGTTTGTATTTGCAAATCCACAAAATCTACCACCATAATAAAAGGTATCACAGGCATGTGGGCAAACTGTAGCTTATATACAGTCCTTCTACCACAATGGCAAAAACAAGGCCTTGACTTACTTTGAACAGAAATCTCCAGGGGCCTCACAAAGCACTAAGGATTATTGGGTTAACTACCTCTCTTTGCAGAGGCTCAAGTTCAAATTGAGCTCTGCTGCCACCATTTGAAAGGTGCAGTCCAGACCAGTTTTAGTTCAGGATCACAGGCCTAAACATAGGAAGAATGACCTCCTCACCACTCAGCTGGGAAGAAAAATGGAGTCACAGGATGTCGGTATGGATAAAATCACATTCTTAAAATGGTGAGTACCAAAAAGCACAAAGTGACATATTTACACACATTTTTGTAGTATTTTTTTCACATAGGACTTATACTAAATAGCCGGTGGCTAGAAATTTAGCTCAGTAAAAACAGTTGAACCTAATGTTGCTTATTAAAGTATTGTATTCAATCATAATAAAAATAAAGAAACATTTCTCCTACCACTGGCAATGACTTCAGTCTTTTGGTATTATAGGCCTTTTTTTTTATAGAAGACATTTTGACATGTCACAGTAGGAAAAGCACAGGTGTCAATAATTAAATTAATCAATGGGACTCTTGAATAGAGCAGAGCCATCATTAATGATATCAGGAACACCTGTGCCTTTCCCACTGTGACAAGTCAAAATGTCTGCTGTGAAGGAGGCCTAAACACACACACATCATCAGTTAAGCATAAATTTGTTCTAGCCTTTTTATTTACAACATAAATGTTCTGTAATGTTCTGTATTTTTTATGTGCTTTTCAATATAATAATACAAAGTATTTTTTGCATGAAAAAACACGTTAGGAATCAATTTCTCTTTTCTTTTTTTTCTTGGAAAAAATAATTTGGGAACCATTGCATGAATGTGGATCTTTTTATTGTGTATTGTTCTGATATTTTCAGAAAGGAAAATCACAACAATTAATGGAGCACTCACATGTTCCCAGTGCACCCTACTCTATTATCTGTAAATGTTTCACAGCTGGTGGGGATTGAGCCCCTGATACCTGACACAACTTACCATACAAGGACAGCTGCATCTCCAGAGGCAAGTGTGGGACATCCTCCTCACTGACAGACTGAATGCAGGCCCACTGCTCACAACAGCAGCACTCAAAAACATATTCAGAAGCAGAATAATATTCAATCTTGAGACACATTGATATGGTAAATAAATATCACTGATTTGTTTTGCCTAAAACTTGCTGCTACTCCTTTCTTCCCCTCCTTCACAACTATAGTCTTGCGCTTATCACAAAGTAATTTGGACACGATGAGGAGAGGTCTGGGGAGGAGGAGATGGAAGGGGGAGTAAGGTCAAGTGGAGGACATTTGGGAGTTTATTTGCTACATCACCATAAACAATGGACCTCTGCCAAGGATGAAGTGGTATTCTAATAACTGACATACAGTAGCTAAAGCCAACACTATGTAGGCTCACAGCTAACAAATGTTACTGTGCAAAGGCACTTGTGAAAACAATGCTGTAAAGTGTGGATTTAAAGAGAAAAAAAAATAATGACCACCCTTTGCCTTAAAAACAGCACCAATCAATAAATACAATTAGTAAGTACTAATTGGTTCTACATTAGTGCACAGTTTTGATGTCTATGGCAGATAAGTTGTGCCAAGTATCTTAGAGAATTTGCCACAGTTGTTATGTAGATTAGGCTGTCTCTGTTTTCTGTCTCTTCATGTAATGACTCCATGATGGTCTCTGTGGAGGCCAGGCCATCTGCTGCAGGACTCCTTGTTCTCCTTGTCTCTGAAGATAGTTCTTTATGTCTCTGGCTGTATGTTTGGGCTCAGTGTCTTGCTGCAGAATGAATTTGATCAGACACCTCCCTGATGGTATTGCAGACGCCCTAATGGATAAGAATCTAAACATGTGAAATGTGAAAACTTCAGCACAGTACTTTATATGCACAGCACAACACACATAACATCACAAGTTAAGAAATAACACTGATGTGATGTAAAGTGATCCTGTATATCAGCATTAATGAGGTTGTATTTTAACTATTTTAGTTACTGTGAATCCTTCATATCTCATTCATATCCTTTATTTCATTAAACAAAATGAAAGTTTCTGTGACAAAGGACAATAGAAAACAAAATTATACACATTTTCAATTTCCCTTTAATAATAACAAGGAGCATTCAGCAGCATCAGTTTCTAGGCACAGAAGAGGAAAGAAGGAAAGGAAGACTTGAGATCTATTTCATACGTGCAGGCTGCCACCTAGTGGTGACACCTTATACTGCATAATGTCCTCAGTGGCTATTTGCATTGAATAATGTTAACAGTTTGTGCTGTTTATCTGTTATATTTTTCTGAATATAAAGCTGTTATATAATAATATAGGTAACATATTTTACATACTAAATAGTGGTAAAAATGGTGTTATTGTTTTTAGAACTGAGGTCAGTTTCATAACAACGAGTTAGAAGGAAGTTTGGGGATTTGGGAATGTGCTGTTCCATCTAAAATAAAAGCATGGAATGGATCATTGTATCAAATTTTAAGTTTCATTGCAAACATCTACTTTTTGTAAATGTTTCTATCTAAACTCTACAGCTCTGCATGGATTGGCACCAGCCTACATCTCTGATCTCAGCCCATACCAAACCCCTTAGATCCTCTGATGAGCTCCTCCTCACTGTTCCACATTCCCAGCCATAATCCAAAAGTGAAAGACTGTGGAACAAATTGCCCATCAATCTTCCCGATTTATCACCACTTTTAAATCCCAGCTAAAGACCCATCTTTATACAATTTGGGGCTGCTTTGCTGCCTCTGGGCCTGGACTGCACTCAACCATCAAGGGTAAAATGAATTCCGAGGTTTATCAAAGTATCTTGCAGGATAATGCCAGGGTGGCTGTTGCCAGCTGAAGCTCAGTAGAGGCTGGATGATGCAACGGGATAATTGCCGTAAAGACTGAAGTAAATGTAATACTGAATGACTTCAAACAAAGAAAATCCACCTGTTGGAGTGGCCCAGTAAAAACCTAGACCTTAATCCAATAGAGATGCTGTGGAATGAGCCGCTCACTCCAGACATGCTGAGAATATGTCTGAGCTGAAGCAGTTCTGTAGGAAGAACAGTCAAAAATTCCTCGTGAACATTGTGCAAGTCTGATCGGCAGCTACCAGCAGAATTTGTCTGAGGTTATTGGTGCCAGTACTGGTTTGACCAGTTCTTAAATCCAAGGGTTCAATTACTTTTTCCATCAGCACTGTGAATGTTGAATCGCTTTGTTCGATAGACATTTGCAATTTAGATGAAGATCATATCACATTTTATGAGCAATAAAGCTATGGGTCTAACTATAGTATAAGTTTTTCTTAATGTTTATTTTCTATTTTTATCTTTATTTAGTCTATTTAGTTATTGTATATTATCCATCTTTTAATTACATTGTTTGCTACCTACCTAATAGTTTTAGTGTTTCCTATGACACTGGTTGCCATACCTCAAAGCAGAATATTTCCATGCTTATCAGGTTAAGTACTGATGACAATGACTGTTTTTCTTTTCTTTCTATTTGGACAAAGCCTTGTTTAATATCTGTTTGCTGCAGGGACTTTATTACATATTTTCAGTTCAAAAATCACAATATATGGAAAATACTAACATAATTGCTGTTTGGCTTTCAGTTTTAGTATTTCCGATTATCGGTGAAGGCAACACGGGAGATGCGTTCATGGTTCAGTTCAGATCACATCCGACGTCACTGTCAGTGCCACCATGTTGGATCAGGAAGTGGGCAGAGTCGAAGCAGGAATCCCGAGCAGGGCTTAACGTTGACGGCCGTCTTTATCCCATCGGTCCACCGTTTCACCGTTCCCACCTTTAACATCCAGGTTACATGCTGCCTGGCTTTCCTGCTGGTCGAGGTAGGCGCTTTTCTTCGGATCTGATCGTTTTGCTGCACCAGCTATGACTTCTCTCACGCAGAGGACCTCGGGCCTCGTCCAGCGGAGGACCGAGGCCATTCGCAGCGCCGCCGCCGACAAGGAGAGGGAGTCCGACGGAGAGGAGGACGAGGCGCGCCGCGGGGAGGAGGAGGACGACGACAAGGGGGACTCGAAGGAAACCAGGCTCACACTGATGGAGGAGGTGTTGCTGCTGGGCCTCAAGGACCGAGAGGTGTGGGCTGATTTTAATCTTGTAATCTTTTAAGTTATTCGTTCAATATTAGCTAACATTGTGTTTACGTTACGCCACCAAACGTGAAGCTAACTTCGTTTATTCCAGTAATAGTTCAAATATTCCTGGATTTGTGTTTTTTTTGTGTTTACTGGTTTAAATGTTTAACATTAAGCTAGTTAGCAATTGTTTGCCAAGCAGCTTGTATTTACGAATGTCACAAATGCTTCTTGCCGATATCTAATAATGTATCGCTGCATATTTGTTGTTGCTCATACGTAGCTGGAAAGCAATTATACGACGTTAATTCACCAGTTTAACTTAGCTACGTAGCTCTAGTGTCCCGCGTTACCTGGGTAGTTTTATTGACAAGAGACGTGACTTCTGTCCAGCAACTCTGACAGCAACTATCAACTACACGTCAGCTAAGTTAACAAGCGCTGCTGCACCTTGGCTCATTGTTTTCTTCTCCCCTCCCAGGGCTACACGTCTTTCTGGAACGACTGTATTTCTTCCGGACTTCGCGGGTGTATGCTGGTCGAGCTGGCCCTCAGAGGGAGGCTACAGCTGGAGGCCTGCGGGGTGAGGAGGAAAAGCCTGCTCTCAAGGAAGGTGAGAACCATGCTGATGTGGTGGGAAGTAACAGCCAGTACATTTACTTTGCACTAGAGTATTTCCATTTTATGCTACTTTATACCGTACAGTTTAAAAATACTGTAATTTTTTACTCTACTATATTATCTGACAGCTATAGTCGTAGTACTAGTTACTATCCAGGTTTTGAATAAGAATACAAAATTGTGATGTATTATTATAGATAAGACTAGACTAGACAAATCTAGAAGCTACCCACCAGTATATGTGTGTTATATGTACTTTAACAGCTGCAACAGTAAAGTGATGTACACTTAATCCATTAATAAATATAATCATAATATACATATACATATATAATTCTAACAATTGTAATTCTACTTTTGGTACTTCGAGTAAATTTTGATGCAAATTTTTTGTGCTTAAGTAAAATTTTGACTGTATGAGCTTTACTTGTAATGGAGTGCTTCTGTACTGTGGTATTGCTGCTTTTCTTAAGTCAAAGATGTGAGTACTTCTTGCACCACTGCAGATGTTCAGTCAACCCTGCTAAAATGTTCTTATACAGTTCAAGACACTTGATACCCTATTATTTTGATCTTGTGAGGAAAAGGATGCATGACATTCACCACTGTACCAAACCTTTAACTGAAAAGCCCTCACTGTACATAAGAATGTTTCCTGATTCCTGTTCATACAGGATGTGAATCAAGTTGTACGTAAGACATTAATAGTCATACTAGTTCAAATATGTGTCCTTTTGTTTGCCAAGGTGATCTGCAAGTCAGATGCCCCGACAGGAGATGTGCTACTGGATGAGGCCTTGAAGCACATTAAAGAAACACAGCCTCCAGAGACTGTCCAGAGCTGGATAGAGCTGCTGAGTGGTGAGATAAACCCTGTCGAGTTTGCTAACCAAAGCTTGCAATAATCTACTCGCTTCTCTTGTCAAGCGTGTGACCTGTTTTCATTTTCATAGCTTGTGCTGTTTGTACACTTATATTATGTCTAGTGCTGCACTGATGAGTTGATAGACAGAACATTTATTGCCAACTTTTTGTATAATCAAATAATCGTTTTAGTCATCTTTTCATGAAAAAAAGTCAAATATTTGCTAGTTGCAGTTTGGGATTTGATTGAAAGGCAAACCAAAACATTTGAAGATATCACATTGGGCCGTAGGAAGCTAATCAAGAAAATGATCAGCACATGAATTGATGATGATCATTACTTGCAGCCCTAATAATATCTGAGTTGTCAGTAGACCTTGATTAATTGATTGTTTTGCATGAAAAATGTACTAATAACTTTTATTGTATCAAACAAAAAACTGTTCATTCATAATATCATAGTTTATGGGCTTGTTATCAACAGCACTCACTCAAATTTAATGATAACTTGGAAGGAGCAGAATAAACTATTTTAAATGACCCTGCATGAGTTGCCTCTCAACTCTTATCTACATCGAGTCAACTCAAATGTGATAAAAATGACATTCACATTCACATACACACCAAGTGTTTAATGTCCTAAAATGGATCTCCTGTTGCCTTTTTAGGAGAGACCTGGAATCCCCTGAAGCTGCACTACCAGCTGAGAAATGTTAGAGAACGTCTGGCAAAAAACTTGGTAGAGAAAGGTGTCCTCACCACAGAGAAACAGAACTTCCTGCTTTTTGACATGACCACACATCCACTCACCAACAGTACCATTAAACAGGTAAAGTTTTGAGACATAATCAGCACCTCTTTGTTGTATAACAAGGTGATTAATAAAAGTAATAGAAAAAACCCCAGCTCCAGTTAGTGCTATTGGAGACTATGGTATGGGAAATAAAAACCTTATGATACAAGGAATAAATTCCTGCTCAGTCGTCAAACATTCAGCTTTTATGACGGTAACAGTAACAGTCTCAGCTTCACTGCCTGCAGGTTTGACCAGCACTTGCACAGTAAAAGCGACACTGGATCCAGTTAAAGTCCAACTGAAATTAAAGTGCATGTTTTTACTGCTACAGCACACGTACTGTATCTGTTCTGCAAATCACATGTCCTGCCTTTGAGAACAAATCAGAACCCAAAAGAACAAAATGTATACTTTTATGTGTATTTTATGTGTGTGTATGTATGTGTGTGTATCTCCTTGCATTAATCCATCAGAAAGCCATTAATTCTCCACCAGTGTAGATGGAGAACTTGTTTTCATAGTGGATCAAATTATTTTATTTTGAACAGTGTCTGTGTCCTATCTAACTTACAAACATGAACACACATCCTGTCCTGGACCTTAGCTTGTTGAATGAGCGACTGAACAAACAGTCTTCGAGAAAAGTCTGTGGTCCTAACATCAGTAAGTAGCGTAAATAGCTAATGAGCTGGTTAGCTGCACCACTTTGAATAAAATGAACTTTACTTTGGACACTTGTGGTGTCATCATTCTTCAACACCACAGTCGAAGTCCTAATAATATCTGAGTTTTCAGTATACCCTGATTAATTCATTGTTTTTGATTCAAAACTTACATACAACTTATTGTAACAAAAGACACTAGTTGACAGAGAAGTATTCATTGATAATAGTTCATAGGCATTGTTATCAATCTCATAGAAATTTTAATAATAACTTGAAGCAGCAGAATAAACAATATTAAAATTGTTTAACATGAGGCATTTTTACTACTTTATGACATTAATTAATTGGCAGATTAATTGATAATGAAAATAATCGTTAGTTGTAGCCCTGATATACAGTGTTAAAGGGATGGAGATGAAATTAAATAATTTTCTTTATATTGGTGCCCTTCCATCTTTTTGGTCTGACATTATAACAAGCATAATAATAATAATAATCACAAAAAAAAACTCCTGACTGCTGCATGTTCACACTATTGTGTCACAACACTTCCTGTCAGCACTGAGAGCAGCTTAGACAGGGGGACTTGAATTTTGTAGGTGGGGAAGAGAAAGCCAATGAGGAATTAGAATATGTGAGGAAAAACTTGTTGTGTAATGTGATTGTCGGTATTGATTTTTTCTCATCAAAATCTTGGCAAAAAAGCAAATTTTAATATGGTTTTATTCTCTGAACTCGTTCCTTCACCTGATTGATATGTACATAATGCTTAAATGTGATGCATATAATGGCTGTAAAACATATATTCCTGCTGTTGCCTACAGCGCCTCGTCAAGAAGGTCCAGGACTCTGTTTTGGAGAAGTGGGTCAACGATCCCCAGCGCATGGACAAGCGAGTCCTGGCTTTAATCCTTCTGGCCCACTCATCCGACGTTCTCGAGAATGCCTTCGCCCCACTCCAAGACGACCAGTACGACCTGGGCATGAAGAGAGTCCACACTCTGCTAGAGCTGGAGCCGGAGAAAGAGAGTGCAAAGCCCAATGCCAATGAACTTATGTGGGCTGTGGTGGCTGCATTTACTAAATGAAAACAGCTGATTGGTCTGGACTGGAAGATCTGGCTATGGTCTGTGTTATTTAATTGGTTGAAGGACTTCACTTAATGAGACAGACTTCACTTTAATGAGACAATCTATTTTGGTTGGGGAGCCTGTTTGTGCATCTATTCCGGATGACATTTTGGTGGTAGTCCATATTAATCCAGTGCAATCTGATTGGTGGTGGGCTTCACCAAGTAACATTTGATTGGCTGGAAAGGTCTCTAAATGAAAAATGACTGGCTGCTTTCACAGACTGAGGTAAGTGAGCCACTACGAAGCTGGATATACTTCTAAACATCGACACTACGAACAGATGGGCTTCTGTTAATGTTAGATGGCATCAAAGAACAAAGCAGGTAGTCATGGTGCATATGAAGATTTTGACTGGGGCCAAGTTTCCCCTCTATACTATGGAAACATCATCTCTCCATTACTACAAGACATGGCCAGAATCAAATCCTGGTCTCCATACTCTTCCCCATGCTTATGCAAGGATAACGGATAGCAAATTACATAGCTATTGATGCTCTTTGCACTCATGCAGGTCTCCTGCCTCCACCTACTCATTCCCACTTGTGTTGGGAGTTCATGCTTAGGGTTACTGTTAGAAAACACTACCTGAATGTTTTACTGATTCCCCCTGTCTTCTCATTAAATTCCCCTTTCTCCTTTCTTCCTCATTGCATTTTGAGGAGGAAAGAGAGGACACAAAGAAATACTTGAGTTCATTTCCTGCATCATCAAGAGTGAGCTGGGTAATTTGGCCCTCATAGACCAACCTAAATGAAGAATTAAACCTTGAGTCAACAAAACCTTTATCTTATTAGTTTGCTGTTTTTGCAAGGGTCCATTCTGTGTTCATAAAATGAGACTAGTCTTCCATTGCTATTTATGTTGCTTATCGATGCTTGGACTAGCCTGCCATTTATCAACTATTTTGCACAGTCAATAGCCCTGTAGGTAGGATAGTATTTATAGGGATTTTTCTTGGGTTGAGTAACCCACTTGTGAAGATGGGATTGAAAATTATGAACCTTAGCATCCATGGTTAAAAAAATAAAAAATAAAAAGGTCTCACGTATTTAGTCTACAGCTATTGATCTCTCTATTGATAATGAGTTCTTTAAAATCATACCTCTGGACATATATATAAAAAAAACTCTTATTTTTAAGTATGACTTGAGCTGTAAAGATGTGGGGAAAACAGATTTGGATCTCTGAACCTCCCACACAAGATACAGTATGATCATTAGCAAAGCTGGCAGTTGTCAGCCAAATGGGCTCATTTCAGTTTAGGAAATATTAAAGCATCAACTCACCCAAATTACATATGTATAAAAAATATATTTTCTCAGGAAACACTAGTGGTAACAATTCTTGCAGGTAGTTTTGGTTATGTTAAGGTTTTGAAACACCTGCCTCTGACATCTGCTTTGAATTTCCTTCTAAGATGCTTGTCAGCAGTAAAAAAAAATTCAGAAGCAACAACCAATCCAGAGACTTTACTGTAAACGGTTTTCCTTGTAACTACTTTCTGGTGAAGAAATCGCCCTTATGAAAACTATCAAAAGTAAATTCTGTGGATTGGGCCACTAGATAACAATATAGGTGAGTGAGAAAATGTATTTTGTAATTTGGGTGAATCGAGTCTTCAAGTTTCCTTCTTGCAATATAATGAATCTCTCAGTTTGTGAGCATGTTGTATTGTTTCATACATGCAGACGATGGGCCTCGGATGAATCCTTGTTCAACGCTCAACATGCAGTCCATTGGAACAAAAACTATCTCCTAACATGCTTTAGTGCAGGTCTGAGAAAACTTCTGTTTCAATATAAACTCATGATTGTAAACATCATTCTGGTCTGATCGGTGTGATCTTTGTATGAAGTTACATCACCTGTTGCTTCACAGCTTACTTATAGTTCTGTCTTTTTTTTCTTTTCTTTTTCTAACTGCAAAATACCTGTAGGTATGAAGAACTGTTGAGATCCGTTTACAGCAAAGAGACCATGCATGCTATTGGTGGAGGGCTGGGGTACTTGTGGATGTAGCTACAGAGAAAAGGCTTGTATGTAATTATTAGTCATTTTATGTGTACGATCTAATGGAATTTAATGAAAGGGATCTTCTCTCCTATCCTCTATAGTTCTGTATGCTTTTGTATTACCACACAAAATAAAGTAAGGATCCTTTAAGTGCCTGAATTTAGCACTGTTTTGCTGTTGTCTTTTTTTGTATTTCATATATATGTGTATATATGTATATATATACAGTACCTTCTCCCATCCAGCTTGTTAAATATCTCATAAATTATGTTAGGTAATGTTAGGTGTGCCTTGTCATAATTATCGAGTGCTTACCAACCATTTGGATAATTAACTATGTTTAGCTGTAGAAATTAGAAATTTGCTGTAGAAATTAGCTGGTTCATTGATCAACTGAAAGAAAATGAATCTGATAAGTAATTATAATTATAATTCTAACAAAATATCAAATATTTGATGGTTACACGCTCTTAAATGTCAAATTTCATTTCTGTTGACATTACTGTTAAATAAATATTAGGTTTCGTATCCTTGGTCGGACAAAACAATCAAGATCTTTTAGAAACCTAATGATGAATAATTGAGAAAATAATTGGCCTCATAATTTATTATGAAAATAGCCCTACTTCACTAAACGGTAAAAAATCTAATGATTTTTAGATTTGCGTGTCACAATTTTTTTTTACATTTTATAAAGTTAATGATCAGTTGGAGAAGTAATCAACAGATTAAAGGAATAGTTTGACATTTGGGGAGATACGCTTATTCACTCTTGTCAAGAGATTGATAACCAGTCCTGTGACTGGAAACAAAAAATGAAGCTACAGCCAGCAGCAGGTTAGCTTAGCTTAGCATAAGGACAGGAAACAACTAGCATGGCACCTGTAAAGCTCACTAATTATTCGAGACTCCCAAGAGGTTAGTGGTCATAACCAGGAAATAATCTGCCACATGTTCCAACGTAAAAAGGTGAACTGTTGTTTTTCACTTCAGTTTTTCTACTAAGAAAACAAATTCGCTATAATGTGATATTTAATTAGCTTTACAGGTGTACCTTTTGACAGACTGGCTAACTGTTACCCCTGTTTCCAGTCTTAATGCTAAGCTAAACTACCTGGTTGCTGGCTCCAGCTACATGCTCACTGTACAGACAGGAGACCGTTGTTAGTTATCTAACTCTCAGCAAGAAACCAAGTAAGCATTTTCTACTCCTGCGTAACTATTCACCTGACTGGCATGAAGCTATTTACTTTCACAACCACTATAGTGCACATGACCAGACACTAGACTGATTGAATATACATCTTTTATTAGCAACTGATGAAATACTTCATTAGAAAAATATCTTTTCAGATTTTTTTTGAGTAAATAAACACCCAAGTCACAATTCGTCCATGTCTTCAGTTAACATAAATGTGACAGCCTTAGAGCATAACATGCATAAAAATCCAACAAACAGAACATGTGACAATCAGCATCTTCAGCAGATAATGTCCATTCATTCCTCTTTGGTCCAGTCACCCACAGGTCTGAGTCGGTGGATCAGCAGCATCCCACACATCTGGGCTCCACTCGTGTGTATGACCGTATGAATCCACTGACAGTCCACAACCAGCAGCTCCATTAAGGTGTTTCCACAAGCTTATGTACATCCCATTGGAGAGCCACAATTTTGCCACCAGTGGTGAGTATATCCAAGACTCTGTCTCTGAATGCCTTCCAGCAATATCCTATCCATCTTGATGTACTTCAACGTAATGTCTCATTTGATTTTAGTGACAGTATTGTAGTTCTTGATCAGTATTTCCAGCAGTTTGTATCTCCAGTAAAGTTTGTCTCCAACTTGACGCAGCTCGTGTGCGCAGTGATCAACAATATCTGTGGGCGAAAGACATTTGGATAAGATAGGTTTAGGATCCATGATCTTATAAATAGATGAAGCTTGATTAAAACCAGTCAAATCTTCTTAGATACTCACCGTGGCCAGCCATTGTCATAATGCTTCTACCTGTCCAGGAAAGAGTTGAAAGCTTTAAAGTATAGGTTTTTCTTCTCCTTCCACGCTTATAAAGCTCTGTACTTGAGGCTTGACAAGAAGGAACAGGTTTGAACTATTGATAGCAGAGCAGGCTTATATACTGCTGGTGACGTAACTTTATGGCTGAGGAATCCCCAACACTCGCAGCCAAGTTCCTCCTAATCGTAGGCAGACTACTCAGTTTACAATATTGTTATGGCCACCTTTAATCAGAAGCATTACATAAAATGTGTATATTTTTGTACACTTTGCAGAACACATTGTGTACCTGTATTGTACTGTACCTGTTTGTTCCTGACTGTAGATGTTTTGGGCTTTTAGTTTCAATCAACATAAACATGATCATGTGAGGATTCAGGGTTTTATTCACATATAAAACCACTGAATTAATAATTTACAATAATACATCATGGATGAAGAGAGCTGACAATATTAGAAGATGAAGTGAACACTTTTGTGACATATTTAATGAGATCACAGGAAACTTTAACTTTAACTTCATAGAAAGTGAAACTTAAAACCTTTACAGCTCCAGCGTGTCACATGAAGCACAGTCAGAGATGACGCTGTTTGAGTGACAGAGGATGAATATTAAGAACTCACACTTTAGATAATTCCAAAATAAAGGCTTATTTTTTTTCCAGTGGCAGAGTAAAGTTCACAGGACAACAACAATTCACAGAACCATCAGTTGCTGATTTAGTGTCCTCATGGACTGATGGTGATAAGACATGGGTTGTTTTCCAGAATGTACAGCACCATAATAGCACTGATGTATTTTCACAGATTATGAAGCACTGAATATTCAAAATAACCATGTCACTGTGTCATGTGACGCCAATAGATTGAAAGTGTTTCACAGCAAATTGTGTTGTAGTGTAGTTTACATTTAGCCGATTAAGACAATTGAAGACCAACATCAGTGGACAACACTCATTGAGTGTGTGCATTCAACAACAAAGAGGCATTCAACCAACAGCACCTCTGATTAAAGTACACACACCAGGGCAGTGACCTAAATACACCATAAACTGACTAAAAGGTTTGAAATGTTCAAGTCATACACTTTATACATGTATATATATGCACTCCATTTCCTCTAAATTCTCCCTCATGAAGTCTCAATACCCTTCACAGCGCAGGCACGGAGGACATGTTTAGGCTTGCCCTGCAGCTATCTGCCTCCGTCTGAACAGGGAAGTCCCCTGGAAATTACAGCTGTTTGTAGTCAGGTGATCTGAACGCTGCTGGTTGAATTGTTGTAACACTACTTCACTACTTCAAAGAGTCAGGTGACCTGAAAAAAGTTGACGGAACTGCACTAACATGACTCCATTTGTAGTAAAGAGAATATGTGTTAGTGAAATGTTACCAAATGTATTCAAGTTGTGACAACTGGAACTTTTTGAAGTAAAGGTAAGGAGAAAGGAGCCAAGCAGAACTCAATCATTAAAACCTGGACATTCAGATCCTTTACTTAAGTAAAAGGACCAATACGTTAATGGAATATATTGTCCTATCTAGTCAAGGTGCTTTTAGTTGACTGGTTTCCAGCCTAGGGGTTGCGCCCCTCCAAAGGGTCACAAAGCAAAGCTGAGGGGTCGTGAGATGATTAATAGGAGAAGACAGAAAAAAAAAAAGTTCAGCTGATAATGAAACTAATAGTTATTTAGTAGTTGCAGATAATTTTACCTCTTTGTACCTCAAACAGTTATTAAACTGAAACCATCTGAGAAGTTCAGAGGGGAACTCACACTTTGCTGTAACTGCTAACCACTCATAGACATGTGACATGACAAAGTATATGACATTTTCATCTATAAAGAAACTACTAATTATAGTTGTTAAATAAATATGGTGGAATAAAAAGTACATCATCTCCAGAAAGTTTGCGGTGTAGAAAGGCAACTACCGGTAAATGTAAATGTAAATGTACTTGTTATTTTCCACCGCTGCTCATTTTAAGCACAGTCTTGTTGATCTACAATGCAGAGTGGACACATGATGCAAAAGGTGTGGGCCTCGCCACTGATAACAGTGCTGTGAAAGGTCCTCTTTTATTGCCACATCCTGAACGTAGTACAGAGACGAAGAGGGGGTGTTTTCAATGTAAATATACTTTCAACATGCTTATCAGAATCACTGTCCCTACACAATGTTTCGTCATGTAATACTCTGTATGTCAGCAAAGTTTCACATGTTGTCGTGAAAATATCTTATGCAAGATGCGTCTGTAGTTTAATGACCCAGTGACAATCCCACTCTCTGGAAGTGGGACAGGCGACAGAAAGGTGTGTTTGCGTGTCTTTGGGCGAAAGAATGAATCAATTATAAAACATTAACCAGTTACACTTTACACACTTTGACAGATTAGTTTGAACTGTTCTTCTTTGCCATATTTACACAGTCCTGATTGGAGTGAGTAGATGGTGTATAGGCACAAAGCTCCTTTAAGTGTATAAATATTGAATGGACCAAGATTGAGAAAAAAAGAAAATAGAGTGTACAGATATAATGTTATCAATAAAGCAGCTACAGATTTAAAGAATAAGAACCAAGACCATAAATGAGCTGCTACTGTCAATATTACATTTTATGTAATATTGTATGTATTGTATTGTATTTATTGTATGTACATATTGTTTACATTATATTTGTTTACTCAGTTACTCTTTACAAGTAGACAATGAACTATGATGTATTGTAACGTATTAAACTAATAGTGTATGAGTACCATATATAATTACTGCTTACATATTATACTTATACTACTACTAATAATAATGTAATAATATACAGTAACACTGTCAAAGATCATTCTGCATAAGGGGTACTTTTACTTTGAGTAAGTAATTTTTTTTTGGACTAATATTTCTGTACTGGTAAAAAAAAAAAAAAAAAGAAGTGAAGGGCTTTGCATAACCCTCTTGCCTTCCTTCCTTCCTTGCATATATACACTGGTGCTCCATTGTTGTTTTTCTTTTACCATGACTGAAACTGTGGGAACTAAATAAGGACTAAAAAAAGAAAGGACCACTTTCACTCAAGTAAATCTTTAAATGTAAGTCGTGTAATGGATTATCTTTATAGTGTGGTATTTATATTTTTATTTTTTACCTTTGCTTACTTCTTCCACCACTGATCATATTCCATGTGTTTATATACTATTTTTGATTTTTCTTTTCACCTTGCTAATACCTGACTGGCCACCTGTAAACCTGTGCATACCTCCATCAATCACCAGATGGCAGCACACTCAAATTCAAGGATCAAACTTGATATGATCTTTTTTAAATTTCATTGAGAACAGTCACATTCAAACATAAACATATTTCAGCAAACAGTGCAGAGGCTTTAGGTCGGTTTCTGGGATATAATGAAACTGCCATAATACACTGAGTTTTGTATGTCATTATATTTCTTTGTTTAATTTGTTTAATTTCGACATTTTGAATCTGCCATATATGGACCGGGATACAAAGTGCACGTGTGAAGACTGGTTTGATTATCATCATCATCATCATCATCATCAACATCATCATCATCATCATCATCATCATCATCATCAACATCATCATCATCATCATCATCATCATCATCATCATCATCATCATCATCAATGCGCATGCGTGAGTTTGACTGGCAGCGCAAAAGCTGAAGAGGCAAAGCAGCACAGGCTTTCAGTCAGACCTGCTGAAACGCTGCTCTACTGCGGTCTGCCACATTTCACAACTATGAAAAATCTACATTTCAAGGATTTCTTCTGGGTGAGTTCTTTATTCTCTGGTTTGAGTTTATTTGTTTATTATTCTTCCTAATTCTAACGTTTTGTCGAAAAGCGTTAGGTAGCCTCGTAACTCAATCAAAAAGAGAAAATGTCTGATAGTAGTAGTAAGTGAAGTAATTTATCTGTTTTTCCACTGGAGTTTCTGTTTCTATTGTAGTCGAATTTTGATGTGAATTAGAAAAACTTTACTCGACCTCATCAAATAGTTCCCACTTTGATATTACTTAAGGAAAGTATTCAGATACTTTCCTTAAGTAATATTACCTATACCACATTGTAACAATATTCAGGTTAAAGTACTGCATTAACAACGCTGCTTGAGTAAGTAAGCTAGTAAGGAGGCTAAGCAAATATTATCAGCATGGTATTATGTTTGATAAAGTAATGCTTATTTAAAGTATCTAAGGTCAAAGTACAAACTAGTCAAGACATTATTGTGTTTATGCATTCATGTGTAAGTAGCGTCACTGGTGGTTGGTTGAAGTGGAGCCAATTCTTTTTTAATATACTTTCAGATAATGCATCATATGTTTTGTAGGTAAAGTTTTACTGTATAAACTACTTACAACTTGTTACTAGTACCAAAAGCTGTCAGACAAACCTAGTTGAGTAAAAAGTAGTATATCTCCCTCTCAATGTGGAGAATAAGTAATGTAAAATGGAAATACTCAAGTTAATTTTTACTTAAACAAATGTACTTTGTTACATTTCACTCCTGTAAAAAAATCCATTTCCTTATAGACTCTTGTGTAATTGAATTAGCAACACAGTTACACATAGTCTCAGATCATTAACAGAGATATAAAGTCAATAACCCTCTGATTTTGACATTCACATGGTTTAGATGATTATAGTTCTGTTACCCTAAGCTTACCTAAATTATGGAGAGGTGCTATTCAAAACATCAATTTACACTCTCTGTGAAAGGTCCTCATGTTAAAGTGTTTTCTTTATGTCTGTGTGTCGTGTTGTCTCTGGGGTTTCACTGTGTGAATTTAGAATAAAACACAGAGCCTGTCTGTCTTACAGTAAAGGACTGGGTATTAGAGGTAGTTGTTGGCAAAGGTATGCGTTTTGAAGTATTAATATGTGTATAATGTAATGTCTATGTGTAAAGTGGACATAGAGTATTAATCTAAACAAACAACCCCAATTGTAATGTGATTTCTATAACCACAGACGACGAACAGAATGAACTATTTTCCATCTTATTGACAGAACTCTGACCTGATCTGCACTGGTGGCTATGACACCATCATCCAGTATCTCAATGATGGCAAGAGGACATGCAAGGAGGTGGAGGATTTCATGAAAGCCAGGTAACATCGTGATTTGCATATGGAATGATGCACGATATTCATATGTTAGTTCTGCTCAGGCCCAAGTCAGCTTAACTGTTCTCTAGCTATAAATTACTGGCCAACTGTGGGCCAACTTACTGGGTTTGCAGCTGTACTAGTTGTTATCATACAATTAATAAGCAGCGAGATGGATAGTCACAGTATAACATGAGGCTACACATGCAAACGTAATGAGACAAAATCATAGGCCTGGCTGTAATCTTGATGGCTTTATAATAGGCAGACTTACTTTGTGTTGCAGTAAAAAATAAGAATTTGTGCTGTTTCTGAAAATAGTGATGAAGGGAGTTAGGTGAAAATGAAACATAATAAGGAGAAGGAACTTGAGCTGTAGATGTTTTGGAGTCATGATCGTGGGAAGTTACAGTCTAAGGTTTGACCGTGAGAGAAGTGGCACAAGTTATAACAACTAAGATAGAAGAAGTTTTTAGTGGAGGTGGACATTGAACACTCAAAGACAATGACGAAGCATGTCTTCGCAATGCTGAAGTCGCTTCACGCTCAGAAATGATGAAGTGGACTTGAGGGGAAAAGAAGTAAAAAAAAAAAATGAAGAAGAAACAACATGAGTTACATTGACAGCTGGATACCAGAAGAACAAAGAGAGGTTGAACATGATGTCTTGAGTTCATTTCAACCTGGAACTTCTCAGAAATGTTACATCATGTTGTGTTTGATTGGTCAAAATCATTTTCTTATGTTTGCCAAAAGTTTCCAGTGGTGCAGTCTTCTGAAAACATTAAACAGAGGAGAATTAAGGTGAAATCCTTTGTTAGCATTATCCTGCAGTCTGTCAGTGTTGCTGCGATGACACTATCAAACGCCAGCAAAATAATTCCAAAAGGCACATTTTTTACATCCACCTTACAAATGTTAAAATCTAATATGATTTATGTTTGAAATGGACTATAACACAAATGGATTTATCCTGATATGGAAGATTTACCTTTAATCTGCAAGTAAATGAGCATTTACCCTACACAGTGCTGCATCATGGTCAACCAGCGGAAATTAATTCTACTGAGAAGAGGAACAGAAAAAGAGTGTCTGGCCCACAGTGCTGCAGCTCTGAGCCTTTCATAATAAGTAATTTATTATCAAGCATCATCAAGATAGATTTTGTAGTGGAGTCATGCAGCTTTTGACATTTTAATTCCTCCTTTCTGGCCAATGGTATAGACTTCATCTGTATACTGTGAATTGCACCTTGTCATTTGTCTATCCATATCTGTCATGACTGTTCCTGATTATGCAGACTTATTAAAATGTTGAGGAAGTCAGGTCATCAATATTAGAATAAGTCTAAGCAGTTATTTCCTGGTGTGTTACCCTTGCTGCCCTGTGTTTTCCCACAGATCCCACAGATAAATGACCATGGTCGGTACAGCTAGATTAGGAGCCTCACTCAGTGAGCTCTTGTGTTTTGGTAACACCGCCCTGCTCATAATTGGTTTATAACATATTAAAATGTAGGTCAGTAGCTATAAACACAGTTTTAAGTGTTTCTTAATGGACAGTATTTATCAGCAACTTTTCTTATGAGGACATTTTTTTTATTTCAACTGTGTTTTATGACATTGTCATTAATTATCTGTTTATACACCAGCCTTAATTTATTGGTATCCTCAAGAGGAGTTATACTTGTTGACAAATGCGTCCATAAACATTTATATACTGCTTTTAAAGGGTAGATAGGGCGACTTAAAGTAAAGTGTTGCCTCTGTTTGGAGTTGTCCAAATAAGGATTTTTATATTTAGTCCACTTTACTTACATTGCTTCACCAAGAGTTTTGTGTAAAACCATGTGATGTTGTGGGAGAGACTGTCGTTTTCTGGAGGAAGCCACACACACTCCATTCATGGCATCACATATGTCAGTGTACACGTAGTCCTGTCTTTTTCCTTATCAGTTAACAAACAAAATGACATGAATTTATGATGTTCATTTCCAGAAAATATCCACTGGCTGATAGTGATGACCAAGTTGGGTTTATATGTAAACTAGTAACAAAACACAACCTGTCATTGATGTCAGTGCAGTTTTCCATTTAACTTCTTTTTCAATTTATCCGCTAAAGGGATGTCCTGTGTGTTCACTTGTGTTCTTTGCTGATATGCTTGTATACCGGGCGCACTTTTGTTTTTTTTTCTGTTTTTTCAGGGCTTCAATTGAAGAGAAATATGCTAAAGATCTCCTTGGTTTGTCCAAGAAGGTGTGTGGACACAATGAGATGAAGTAAGCAGCCTCCGTGTTATTATGTGTTTGACCAGTTCTTTTTTCACAGTGAAATGAATTAATCTGTGTCTGCAGAACTGACATGATGCCTTGCAGTTTGAAAGCATTGCAGAGAGAGAGAGAGAGAGAGAGAGAGAGATCACTGACCCTGGGATAATTTTGACTCTGTAAAAATGTGGAAACGATGACTGCATTACTTTGCAGTTTCCAGTTTCTTAATAATAACTTTCAGTCAGTCCAATTTTACGTGTAAGTGTTGACATGATGTTCTATATCAGCAAGTCTAGTTCCTATTCTGTCTGTGGTCACATGATTATTGTGGCTTTGTTTCTGCCGTTTCTGTTAGAAAGAAGGAAGACCTGTGGGGGGAGGGTGGGACAGGCAACACTGATAAAATCATAGTGACCCAATGATCATCCTTCATTGGTATAGGTATTTTTTTTAAACACACAAAAGTTGCAACACATGTGTGAAACCTTGAGAACAGTATCTGTGGTCTTAAAAAGTCAGTGATTGTAAATGTTTTTGCATGATTGTTCCACTCTGTGGTCAAAAACTCCACAGGGTACCTTTAACATCTTCCTTTTGTGTGTGTAGTGTGTGTAGTGTAGTGGGTATTAAAAGGTCTCACTAATGCACTGAAGTTACTTATTTTATGTAGATTATGTAATGTATAGAATCCCTATTTAATATTTGTTCCTTTTGTTCTTTAAGCACATTAAAAAGATCCCTGGACGTGTTCAAATTACGTAAGTGTTGAACATTTTTAATTATAACGTCTTTCACCAGCATTATTTCCTTTTCCTGTATGTGTCAGTTCATTATTTCTGTGTAGACCACAATCCAAATAACCCTTCTCCCTGCAGAGATGGAACATGTGAGTCTATCACATTTACAACTGGCGCAGAGCATGAGGGAAGAGGCCAAGAAACTGGAGGAATTCAGAGAAAAACAAAAGGAAGTCAGGAAAAAGGTTGGTACCATGGTGCACTGAGGTGACCGAGGCATCTTTGCTGCACTCAACAAGCTGGTGACGAGATACAACCTTGTCATTTCAGCTAGAACAACAGATGGATGCCCTCCACAAACAGAGGTCCACACACTTCAAGAAGACAATGGATGTAAGTAATACTAGAGAGGTCACACAGAGTTAATTATTACAAGCTCAACATTAAATAAATGTTTACAAGGCTGCTATCAAACTTCACCTCAAGAATTTTTCTGCTTCTTTTTCTTGTAGTGTGTTACTGATAAGCTGAGCTAACTATATGCAGGATCAGTCACATGCAGAGTTAATGATACATAGTGATTGACCTGAAAACCAAAGTGAAATTACTCTGTTATCTATATTAAAATATCTAGATATGATAGAACCAAGCTTTTGCTTTTGGTGTTGTGCTACCTTTAAGGTAGAAGAAAAACCAGAAGTATTTTTAAACCAAGCGACACTGTACATCAGTCTATTTGAGATTTGTGTCAGATGAGTTTCAGTTGCGTTGTGACAACAGTGAAAATGCCAGTCTTATTGCATCCCTCTGTTCTTCCTCTTTGGTGGGGGAAGTTGTATCGACCAGTCTGGGAAGTGAACCCCAGGGCATCATTTGGCGCCACGAACATCATAGCCAAAAGAAGAAGTACATGTGATGCATTATTCAGTGGAGTGGATATAAACTTATTCTGTAGCAATAACAGAACTGATGCTGGCAGACTGACGCAGCCCAACAGCAGAGGATATCATGAATCAACAGCTGATGGTGATGCATTAAAAAGCTCTCATGTGGTTCTGTCCCCAGTCAAAGAAGACGTATGAACAGAAATGCCGAGATAAAGAAGAGGCGGATCAGAACGTGAACCGAAACACCAACACCAACAACACCAAGCACATTGAGAAGGTACAGAGGAGTTTCATGGAACATTTATTTTCTCCACGACGGTTAGGGTTATGTCTATTTTGGTCACGTAAGAAATGAAAACTGTACAGAAAGTGTCACCAGCAAACATCAAGATCGGTGCTATTACCTGATCGATAGAGAAATTAACAACAATTTAGATTTTCAGTTAATAATTTAAGTCAGGCATCAGGCAAGAATGTCCAATGTCTAAGCTTGGTGACTTAGATTTGACTCTGATGCAGATTTAGCCCCTAAGAAAACATTAGTGTTCAATAAATGTACTAGTGTTATCTCTGTGCCTTAGACTTCCTCCATCTACCGTGTGGTGTACCAGCTGAGTTATATCTGAGAGGTGCCAAATTGATAATGTTCATAAGACCACTTATATGAGTGCCACTGTATTTGTTATTTGTGATGTGTTAGCTTTAGACCCACTAAAGAAAACTTAGTACTCATGTGTGTTTTTTTGTTTTTTTTAACTCATCATCTTTCAGCTCTACTCAAAAGCACAGCAAGCAAAACAGAATGCCGAAGAAGCAGGTAAGTTTTCAAAAAAAAAAAACCCTGCTTTTATCAAAAATTGCTTCACATTTTGCCTCTAGGTCACCCATTCACACACACACATTTACACACTGATGGCAGCGAGGTACCATACTAAGATGATGTTTCAGTGTCATGCCCAAGGACACTTCAGCATGTGTCTGTTGGTCCACCACTTTGGTCCAGACTGAAGTAACTCAATGACTATTTTGTACAGACATTCATATTCCCCAGAGGATGAATCCCTCTGACGTTGGTGATCCCCCGACTTTTCCTCTCGTGCTACCATCAGGCTGAATTTCTAAGTGAAATACCTCTGAAAATATCGAATGGATTGCTGTGAAGTTTGATGTACACATTCCTGTTCCTTAACTTTTCATCTAGCACCATCATCAGATTCATATAAGTGAGGTGTGAGGGGCTCTCTTAGATTATTAAAGCACAAAACCAGGCTGAGTTTAATAGATAACAGTATAATAATAATAATAATAATAATGTGTTTGGGGTGTTTATATCATATTTATACTGATGTATTTGTTTGATTTGCAGACAAGTTGTACTATCAGAATGTGACTGCACTGGGAAAAGTTAGAGATGAATGGCTGAGGGAACATGTCAATGCCTGTGAGGTAAGACTGTGAACAATTCAACAGTCCTAAAGTTTGAATATACTGCACATCATGTGAATAAGCTTAATGTTTTCCTCGACAGATGTTTGAAAAACAGTCAGTGGAGCGTATCAACTTTCTGAGAAACACAGTCTGGACTCACCTAAACCAACTTTCCCAGCAGTGTGTGACCAGTGATGAGGTAAAGCCCACAGTTAACATCAACGTTAAAGCTGCTATAATCAATACTTTCATATTAGCAATGGATCAAGTAAGTGTGACTAATGTGAAAGTGGTCGCTCATAGTTACAAACTCATAGAAAATTGTCATTAAACCCTGCAGTTTGCCTTAGCTCTACAGAGCATTTTAACATCTTTCAGCTCTTTGTTTTGGTTTTACAGCCCATAACTTTACTGTTTTGGTTCACTCTCACCGCTCTCATTAGCCTCATTATCAGCTGCAGCAGGAAGTTGTTTTCATTGTAAAACCTGTGATAAACCCACTGTCCATCACAGTTAGCAACTAACCAGTGCACATGATGAAGCATCAAGTTGTTAAAGAGACAGATATTTCCCTCAAGGTAGAGACCAGAAAGAGAACTAAACAAAGAGTAAATATTTGACTTCATTGCAAATATGACTTCAAATTAACGCCGCTGGATATGTAAACAGGAAACTGGGGTGACAATATATTGGTGTGTGGTTAAAGCTTGTTCTCATCAAATCAATCAAAATCAGAAGTCATCTTGCAAGCCAAGACTAGAGACCATCTTGCACTCAGGATCACACAAGCTGTGATGCCCATCAACATGACTCCTCAGGATTCACGACCACACCCATCTTCGAACTTCGCACACCCATAAAGTTTTGTGACTGTATCTTGCACGGCTGTGACGCTATCAAAATCTGCCCACAGACAGGTGTATAAACACCTGCCACACTACTCAGAACTGCCTCTGTGGTGGTTCCTGCTACTGTAGGTGTCTCCAGGAATACATTTTGTCATGATGACGTACACACAGACACTCACAAGGTGAAAACAATACCAGCAACACTGTCACAGCTGGTAAAAAAAAAACAATAAAAAAATGTTCTGTTATTATTATGAGAATCTCACTCGTATAAACTTCAATAGACAAACATCTATTTCTGGTCATCTATAAAGGTGTGTTTAAAGTGGACTCTGACCTTGGTTTCACTGTGTTGTGTGGTTGGGTGCATAGCTGTACGAGGAAGTGAGAAAATCACTGGAACAGTGTCACACCCAGGAAGATATCGAACACTTTGTAAACCTCAGGCGGACCGGTGATAAACCACCAGGTATGAAGGACAAACTAGTCATTGTCAATTCTGTGGCATTAACAATTAACCAGGGTACAATGGTAGTTATCAGGCAACACACAACTATGCACTGCGCCATCAGTTAACACGAACAGTCTTTCTCTCTTAAAGCTCCGGTTTTGTATGAAAACTTCTACAACGGTCAGAGGTCTCCAACTGCTCCACCCTCTCGCCTGCCTCCACCAATCATCAGGTAAAGAAGAGAAGGTCTCCAGGAGAGGCTGCCACCTGTCTGCTTACTCATTTATTCACAATCATACACTAACTACCAGTGCTAATTGTGTACCTTGTTTTGGGAATTTACAGGAGGGGGGCATTACCTGATCCAACACACAACAGTCAGGGTATGTTTTCATTCGCTTAAATATGTTGTTTCGTTTAAAGATCCCATATTGTATGAAGTGACATCTCCATGTCTTTTTTTGATTATAAAGCAGGTCTAGGTTCTATGTTAATACTGCGAACGTATCAAGGCGCTCAGTCCACACAGAAATACACACAGCCTGTGTTCAGAAACTGAGCCTTAAAAGGACTTTAATTGCCACATTTACACTTGAGTCTTCTGGCAGTGGATGTAAAAGGCCTTTTCAGTGGAGGAACTTGTGGCTTTATTATCTACCGAATGTTCGCTTCAGGCTTTTACCTTTACACACTTAACCACAGTGTTTTTGATCTTTGCTTTGATTGCAGATGGCATAGTCTACTCCACAGTGCAGGACGCAGGCTACAGCGTTATCCACTACTAACACGCACATGCTGGAGCAGTTACTGGACGTCATGTGGAGTGTTGGAGCTTTGTGATGGACATGAAGTTTACTTACGTCTCATTACTTCCTCCTTTGTGTTTTTCTGTAAAAACATGGTCATACCATGTGGAAAATGAATGTCATAATTGTGTGCATGCATAGTTTAGATAAGGTATTTTGAGTGGTATTTTGAGCATATGTCACTGTGTTATATACAGTGCAGTAACCATCATTATTTTATCTTAAGGTTCCTGTGTGTACTTTTATAATCAGAAGCTGATAAGGTTATAAAGAAACACAAGAAGCAGTGACATCTAACTCATTTCTGTATAAACTTAACAGGATATAGAGCTTTCTGCAGAGCAGCAACTTAATTTATCTTCAGTTTATTTTTGTAGTTTTGAGATTTTAAATATGCACATACTAAGGTAATATGTCATCTGCTCACTGATTCTCATTTCCTCTTATGTGTGAGAACGCAGTGTCAGCTGACAGCGGTCTCATGAGCTGAACCTGAAGGCTCATACAGACCTCTTACTTACTGTCTCTACAGTATATGGATTATTACAGACCCTGTTTTTCATCAGTTTTCCAGTTAAAATCCGGTACTTTGTCACTTAACCTGCATCCTAACATGTTGAACAATAGAATCATTTCCAATGTAAGAAAGTTAGAAGTTCAATGCTCTGCATTGACATTCAAGTGACTGAAGTGTACATATGATGAAGATGCGCAATATTTTCTGGATTCTGGAGGAGGATTGTTTTTGCACTTTGATGTAGCTTAATTTATGTTAATAACACTTCATTAGTGTTATTGTTGTTGTACCGTTTGAAACTGCAGGAGTAAAGAGGGATCATCATTTCATTATGCAGCTCACTTGGTGTTTTATGGTTTTGTATTAAGATGTAGCAACGGTTTCTCTGTTTGCATTTTCTTGACTTGACTATATCTGGTGTGTAATACTGGACTAAGTTCCACATATTCTACTACTAGGTTTAACTTTTAATTCTGCCCCTATGATACCTGACCCACCTTCAACATACTGTTTGGCTCTGTTTGGTGCCTGCAGTCACACTTGTGTATTTCATTTTGATTATCAACATTGACACAAGAAATGTTTCAAATGAAAATCAATACAGCTTTATTTCCCACACTTTTGGCAACATCATTATCTCATTATTGATTTTTTTACTCTCCCAATTTTCAGGATGTCCTTTTGCATTTCATATTATACAGTCCTCCTCAATGTGAGTAAGAGTTCATCCCACATCTGTCCAGTGGGTGCTGTGTGTCTGCAGGCGTTAATCCTGAATAGCAGAGATGAAACGGGAAGCACTTTTGTCGGCAGGACGACGGGATGCAGAGCCTGTTGATAGTGTATGGAAACGTCCTGGAGGTTCTTGATATCACGCAGCATGTTCTGATTTGATCAGATCCAGAATCATCTGGATGGTCCTCTCACCTAAGACAGACAGAGACGGACTAGATCAGATCAGATCAAGCAAAATAATACTTATCTGCAGACATTTAAACTGTTCCTTATAAAAAATAATCCTTAATGAGGAAAAACTTTGAGAAAGATTTTAGCAACTGTCAACAGATCCCTGACAAGACCGCACCCACAATGCATTAGTCTTTATGTCAATACTTTCTGAGCATACCCAGCCTGTAGCTCTCAGCCAAGCCTACAAGTTCCTACTTAAGACAATCACACCTTTTTTAAAAACATCACAAGTATAGAGGTTCCTGTTTTAAAAAGGCTCAGAAATGTCCTCAAACAGCTAGACATTGTAGTTCTTAGTAAACATTTCACAAAGAAAGATGAGACAGTGTATTTGTTGCTAGTGGGTATTTATGGCAGCAAGAAAGTGTATGTGTATCCATTATTTTTAACATTTTTTTCAGTGCAACCATGTAAACACTGTGAAAAAGTGTTTTAATTTGATGCTGCTTAATGTAGGAAAAATAAAAACTTTAATGCTTGGGTTTACCTTCCAGATTCATCCTGGGATTCTCAAGCTTCTTTTCAAGCAAAGAGTCCATCAGCTTCCTCAGGTGTTTGAAGATCACACCAATCCGTACAGGAGCCTGTAAAGGGGAACAAAGATTAAATTAAATAAGCACAGGTGTGATTAGTAACAATGGCTCTGTTGCATTTAGTGTCGCAGTAAGCAAACATGCACAATACCAAGGCCCTGAAACTGAAGCAACAACAAACAATATCTTATTTCGTGAGCCTACAAAGTGAAGTTTGCAAAGACGCCACCTCTGCTGCTACAGGAAGGGACAGATAAGGAAACGATACAAAAAGTCAAGAGCCCCAGAGCAACCCGGGTCATCTGACCTGAAAGTGTATCCAACTGTCTAGCGTGATGAGCCTCTCTCTGTGCTGAATATCAATGTCGCCTCCAAACAGCAGCATGGGGAAAGGAGATATCAGAGTGGTGTCCCGCAGGTAGATCTTAGTGTATTTCACCTGAGGATAAGCAGTTATTAGCACAAATGAGACTTAGAGATAAACATGTCACACACACACACACACACACACACACACACACACACACACACAAACTCTTCATCCATACCTTCTCCTGGTACAGCAGCCAGCCGTGTGTCTGCAGGTTGCGGTTAACCGATGAGGGATGGACCTGCGCCCTGCCCTGAGGGGTCTCCACTGTGCAGGCCACTCGCTCGAGCACGTCCACGGAGGGGGTGCACAAGACCCGCGCCACGCTGTCGTAGAGCCCTGCCGCCAGTACTGCGTTCAGGACCGAGATCCGCTGCTTGGACAGCGAGGGTGTCTGCAGCTTGGAGTGAGAAGAGGAGCGAGACGACCAGAAACCGGCCTGCTCCATCATCTTCATCAGCTCGTGCTTCACATCCTGGGTGGAAGATGTCAGACAACATGGTTGTTGGGCAGGAGGAGGAAGAGAAAATTATTTAAATAAGTGATGAGAGGCCCAGGTGAGTGAGTGTGTGTGTGTGTGTGTGTGATACCTCTATTGTAATGAGAGCTGTTCGATTGAGGAAGTGTTTCCTACAGTAGGACATCTCTACTCTCTGTCCCTCCGTCTGTGAGTTCTTCCACCTGACAGTATGACAGAAAACAGGTCAGATACATCATCAGAGATTTTGTCATAGCAGTATTTTTGCAGAAGGCAACAGATTCTTGATAGCCATAGTTCTTTTTAGGACCTTTAAGTACGTTTTCTAAATATGTTTTCCGACCTGCAGATATTTGTTAAACCCCTCACAACATTTTTAATTTGTAATTCTTCTACTCTCATTAAATCACATTAACTCAATATGAGTGTGTGACCAATGTGAGAGGCTTCCAAAAATCCCAAACATGCCATTTCAGGTATTTTCAGAACAGTCCATACCCCAGATATGCATTGTATATGGTCAGGTGATCAGAGTTGGCCAATGCCAGTGCAGCTTTGGCCAGGTTAGCTTCATCCTTTCTGTTCATTGGTGTGGAGAAAGGAGACTTCTCAGTGATGGCTGCTGCGATCGTCGCCTGAAACAAATCTTCTATTAATATTCATGGTAAGATATGAAAGCAGTCAGGACTTTAAAATATATAATTATGAAATAATATGGTAATAGAAGTATTTGCAAGCTATAATCCTAATACAGTTGCAAAAGAATCATAGTTGGAGTGTTTGTTTTCTGATAATAATGAGGCAGAGGGACGTACTATGGGCTCCAGGCAGCCGAGGATGGCTCCATAGATCAGCATCTTGCCGATCTTCACGTTGACGGGCAGACTCGCCAGGTGGTGTCCCAGAGGGGTGAGGAGGTGATCGCTGGGGTGACACGCACCAATCTTCCTCAGCAGGTTGATGGCGTTACTGACCGACTGGGGCTGAGGAGCATCCAGGGCCCGGCTCAGGAAGTCCTCCGGGGAGCCGTACTGACATTTCTACCAGAGGGGAGAGAGGGGATTTGGGGGGAGTGAAGAACACTTTAACTGACACTTTGATGACGTTTCCACATGAGGTAGAAGGTAGAAGCGGTTGCCTCTTTTGTGTATTATTATTTTTATGTCTGTGTAACTGAGTGTGATTTATATACCATAATATGAAGACAGAGCTCCTCCAGTGGGACGCGTAGTATCTCTGGTATGGAGTAATCCATGAACGCATCGAACCTGAGGTCAGATGGGTTACACAACAACAGAACAGATCAACACTTGACCAAAAACAGGAATAAGTAAAAGAAATAATTGTGTTTTTCATCTCATCTCTGCATAGTGAGTGAAGACAGCTCCGTGCCTGTATTTCGGGTAGAGCCTGAAGCAGAAGCCGTTTCGGACACGTCCCGCTCTCCCCTGCCTCTGGAGGGCGCTGGCTTTGGAAACAAAAGTTTCCACCAGAGAACTCATCTGGCTGCTCTCATGGTACCTGATCGACACAACAGAGCAGAGTCAAGTCTCTCTGCAACCAGCCTCACTTCTGTTTTCTCTTTAGTGTGATCATTAGCCATGCTACTGCTGTGGCTGCAGGGGTGGGAATATTGATCTGTTGGTCTGTTACCACTTCGATCCAGACTGAGATATCAACAACTGATATGAAAGTTTGTAAAGACATTCATGATTGCTGGATAATGAATGACTTTTCCTCTAGTGCCCCCATAAGGTTGACATCTGTAGTTTCAAGTAAAATGTCAGAGCAACTATTGGATGGTTTGTCATGAACTGAACTGAAATAACTTTTTGATCACTTAACTTTTCATCCAGCCCCTTCAACTGGTCAAAACATTAATGTGTCTACTACTTTAGCTCATGACCAAATACCTCTAAAGCTTATGACATTCCCATCAGCCTCAGCTGTACTGTCACTGCGAGCATGTTCGCATGCTGACATTAGCATTTAGCTCAGAGCACTGCCATGGCTAAAGCTGTTAGCATGGCTGTGTTGTTTATGGTCTCAATCCACAGAGACAGACAATTAAGATCAAATATTTTTTAGTGAAGCCATGACACAGATCAAATAATTAAGAGTGAAGCTTCATGTTGTAATATGAGAAGATATAATATAATAACAATACAATAACATGAAAGACTTTACTGGTATCGTTAATGAGCACTTACTTATTTTCTTTGGTCTTCCCAGTGTCGATGACAAACACAACATCAGGAATGGTCACACCCGTCTCAGCAATGTTAGTCGACAACACAATCTAAAGAAGAGACAGAGCAGAGCAGAGCAGAGGGGATTTGTAGGACTTGTGAATATATTTGTTCAGTTGCTCTGTGAAATCATTTTATTTTTAAGGAGTATTTAAACTTCTGTTTTCTGTTTTCAAAACATGAGAAAGCTAGTTATCAGCTAGTGGTGAGAAAGCAATTCACTACATTACCTAAAAGCTGCTATATATTTTTATTTCACAATGCTCTATTCTACTGTGACATATTCAGTAGTACCTTCCTAACTCCAGCAGGGGGCACTGTGAAGGCAGCAGCCTGGTCCTTTGATGAAAGAGTGGAGTGGAGAGCAGCAATCCTGTACCTTAAAGTAACAGACAAGACTCACAGTGAGACAGAGGTAAAAGGTCAACTTAAATGTACAGTTTAGTGTGTTACTATTAGCTGAGTGTGTGTTCGTCACCTGTGTTTGTCCCTGAACCTCTTGTCTGAGGAGAGCAGGTCGTACAGCTGCTGGATGTGAGCCAGACCTGGGAGGAATACGAGAACGGCTCCATCCAAATCTGCAAATTGTGGGGATTTGTCTGACCAGAAAAAAAAAAAAAACATAAATTCAACACATAACATAAGACGAAAACGTGTACTTAATATGGACTTTGCGCTGTCTGAAACAAGCATGATGATGTTTTGCACCTAGGTAGTCTATAAGGTCAAC